GTCATGGTTTCATTTGATGGTTTTAAAGATGATTACTCTCGTCCTTCAACTGTCAATCTTATCCACGTGTTTTGGATACTACATCTCCATGTTTGCTTCCATTTGAAGGTTTTTGTCTGCTAAGAATCTTGGTAACATTTTAGATTAGCCCTCACTGATTAACAGTTAACTAAATGCTGATTGTTGTACCCTATCCCAGACCTAAACCCTAAACCTAGACCTAACCTTAGCCCTAACTCTAGACCGAAAGCTAACCCTAGACCGAACCCCAACCCTAGGCCTAACCCTAACTCTAGCCCTAATCCTGACCTCAGCCCTTACCCTAGACCTAGGCCAAGACCTGGCCCTATAGACCTAGAGCTAACCATAACCCTAGCCCTAGAACTAGAAAGGGAAAGTGTAAATGAACTACACTAAATGTAGTGAAGAGGAGTGCACTGACCACTATATTGGAGAAACCAAACAAACTCTACAGAAACGACTTTACCAACATCGTAGAGAAAACTCTAGTGGGCCACAGTCGGCTGTTCATCTCCACCTCAAGGCCTCCAACCACACGGTGGATGACACAGAGGTTAAAATTCTGGCTCGGGAGAAGAATTGGTTTGAGAGAGGGGTGAAAGAAGCCATTTTTGTGAGGAAACAAAAACCTTCTCTTAACAGAGGAGGAGGGTTAAGATTTGTTTTGCCTCGCATCTATGACGACATCCTAAAAACAACGCCCTAACTTGGGACAAGGTCAGTGACATGCTAATGAGTTAGGAGGGGTGAGACCTGCACTCCACTTGAGCATCCCAGCAGACAATAGGTCTGTGACATGCTAAGGAGTTAGGGTCGTTAGCCTCAGCAGGGTCGTTGGACCTGCTCCCTTCTACATCAAGCAGACCGTAGATTGTTTATGACTTAGTATCAGGATTAGGGTGTGGCTTACCACACCCATAGGTTATAAATCTCCAACGCGCGGTCCGAGAATTCATTCCCTGAAGAAGTCCCCAGGTTGAGGACGAAACGTCGGGAAAACTTGCTAAGAAGTACAGATGATGGGTGAGAAACCTTCCTTTGCTTTGACTAATCCCTGTACGACTGAGGGCTTACACAAACTTGTTGAAAACATAAGTCGTAGATTATTATTGCAGCCATCAATGGTTTTAGAAAAATAAATTTCTCTTGTTCTACGTAGCACCCTGTTAAACTTGCACAACTCATTTTTGAAGATATCATGATCAACCTGGAGATTGGATTTTCGCCACTTCCGCTCGGCCCTACGGCACTCTCTCTTCTGTACCATGACTGAGTCCATTTTAGTCCAGGGGGCCTTTGGCTTATTTGTAATCATTTTAACCTTCACAGGAGCGATGATGTCCAGAACATTTATAACATTGGCGGTGACAGAGTTAAACAATTCGTCAACAGTAGAACACAATGTGTTCTCAAAGTTTATCATTCCCATGAATAGTTCGGTTGTGTTTTCATTTATGTGTCTGTGTCTGACACTTGCAGATTCAGATATATATGGTTGTTTACTATCAAAACACATGTCAAAAAATACACAGAAGTGATCTGACAGAGCCACGTCAACCACATTTACATTTAAAATATTAACCCCCTTTGTAACCAGCAGGTCTAGAGTGTGCCCTTTGCTGTGGGTGGGGCCACTCACCTGCTGAGTGAGACCAAATGTTTCAAGTACAGAACTCAGCTCTTTTGCATTTTTGTCATTGCCATTATCCACATGAATATTAAAATCACCTGTAATCACTAAACTATCAAAATCGGTGCAAACAACTGAAAGCAACTCAGTGAAATTATCAAAGAAATTGTGACAAGACTGCGGTGGCTTGTACAGGACAATGATAAGAATAGAAGGAGATTGTTTTTGTTCTATTTTAAAAGAAATATACTCAAATGATAGAAAATTTCCAAGGAGAATTCTATGAGAGATAATACGATCTCTAAATAATGCAGCAATGCCTCCCCCCCTTTTATTTTCTCGTATTTCAGATTCAAATTTGAAGTTTGGTGGCGTTGCTTCTATTAAAACCGCATTACCTGTACTCTGGTCAAGCCAAGTTTCAGTCAGAAACATAAAATCAAGATCATAAGAACGGATAAAATTATTAATTAAAAATGATTTGTTGCACAGTGATCTGACATTAAGCAAAGCAATTTTAAAATTAATATCAGTAACAGTGGGTTTAGTTAATTGATTTTTACAAGGAGCAGGAATTAGATTTGAATGTCTAACTGCTGTCCTTCTGTTATGATTTTGTTTTCCATTCAAATAAAAACATTTTTTGAAACTGATGCGAGGAACACACACAGTTTCTATTTAATACTAAGTCCCGGATTCAGGACGGCATTGCTTCGTTGTTTAGAGCAGGAGGCAGCACGGTTCAGAGGCGAGACTGTTATTTCACTGCCAGACGGAAAGGGGTCAGTGTTTGCACCACAGTACTCACCCGGTGCTGGTGAGCAGGAGAAGAAGGAGGAGGGTGGTGGTGGTGGGGGCTCCGATGTAAACAGTCACGCCCCCCTCGGGGAACACTGAATAACATGGCGTAGGTAATCCGTCAACAAGCTGGTGCCATATCTATTTGGGTGCAGACCGTCTGGACAATAAGCCACGTGACGCTTCCAGAAAAGGCCAAAGTTATTCACAAAAATAAAGTTAAACGAGCTACATGCAGACTGGAGCCACATGTTCAACGCCACTACGCGACTGTACAAGCAGTCTCCCCGGTTTACAGTCGGGACTGGACCAGAGATAAAAACACACAACCCGGAGGACTGGAGGAGGCGGAATAGATCCATAAAATGCTTCTTTGTGACCTCGGACTGCTGCAGCTTCATGTCGTTGATCCCCACATGCACGATTACCTTTGAAATGGTATCAGGCAGGGACTGAAGCAGAGGAGGGAGACGGATGAGCAGGTCTGGCACAGTAGCTCCGGGAAAACACTGAGTGACCGCGTTAAAAAAGCGGACGTGTCTCACGATGGAATCTCCAACAATCAGAGTAGTCGGGGCGAAGAGTGGACGTAGCCGCGGAGAGGGCGCTCGGTGTCCATGGCCAGAACCAGCGGGCTCATCCAGGGATGAGTCCGAACCAGGGCGCTGCTGAACACATGGAGGGGAGCGGGGGTGTTGATTCTCAGCTCCGGGCAACCCACGCTGTGTGCACGGAGACGCTGGAGCGGCGAGAGGAGCAGGCTCGAGTCGCTGCTGCTGACCCGGTGAAGGTAAGCGGTGGTGATGCACTGGGGTCAGAGAAGGGGAATGACCACTCTTTCGTCTGAGGACGGCTTCCTTTAGGAGCGTTTTTCTCGCAGTGGACTTAGATCCACGAACGGCAGAGTACGCTGCAGAGTCCAGGGGTTCTGCTGAGGGGGCTGGAATGTCAGCGGAGAGGGCTGCATAGCGGTTTGACAGGCTTAGGACATGAGCCACGGCGCTGGATGGCTCCTCGCAGTTCGCGGGTTCCTCATTCGGAACCGGGCGCTTAGGTGTAGAACAGGAGGGTCCAGAGCTGACAGACCTCTCCCACACGACAGTGTCACAGTATGCAGCGCTCAGTGACATAAGTCGTGAGTGCTGCCCGCCAGCGACATCAAAAAGTTTGGACACGAGTAATTGTTTTTCCTGTAGTTCTGCAGTGAGGCGAAGGACTTCTTTACGGAGGTCTGCAATAGTGGCACGGTCCCTCTCACGAAACTCCAATGTGAGGCGACTAATGTCGTTTATAGGGTTTGTGGTTATTGTAGTGTCGCGTTCCATGTCTGTGTAGGTTTAATAAAAGCTCATGACGTGGTGCCCTCGTGGTAGCCTCCGAGCTAGCACGTTTTCAGCAACACATCTTCATTGTCTCAGTTTGCTCTGGGCTCCAATTCACAATTCTCAAGAGCTTGTGAAGAAGTTTCAATAAGAAATACATTAAACTGTAACTTTAAAAAGAATTAAAAGCAGTAAAAAATCCATTAAAACGAGTTAGTCCAGAGAGAGACACTGAGCAGACAGTGGACATGCTGCCAACGAACTGCAAAGCCTTGACTCACCACTGTGTGAGTGATATCTGAGTTTCCATGTAGCTCTGAGTTTCCACATGTTGTAAAGTATCCGAGTAAAGCGGTCAGTTCTACCTCATGGAGCAGACATAGTGGATATTCATGGCGGCACGGTGGCTGAATGGATAGCACTCCCGCTTCTCAGCAAGAAGGTCCTGGGTTGGAATCCCGGTTGTAACGGGGTCTTTCTGAGTGGAGCTACTCATTATTCAGTAGAACTTTGGTTGAATTCAGTTATTTGAGCTCAGATTTTATTGTGCGTTTGTTGTAGAATTGTGTCAAACTGTATTCTTAAGATGTGTATGTATAGCTTACAATGACTTATTATTAAGTGCTATACAAACAAAGATGTATTATTATTATTATTATTGCACTTAAAATAAATTGCTTAATAACCATCTCATTCATTCATATAATTTATATTTTTAATATAGTACTAAGAATTGCATCTATATAACAGTTTACAAGATAGATCCTTTATTGACCCTGCAGGTGTCTAGCAGCAAAAACACATCCGTCCAAATAAACAAATAAACCAATAATTCTAAAAGTGACTAACAATAGTAATAAAGTGCAGCAGCAGCAGAGCTGGTGAGGAGCTGCTTCTTCTGATGTCTGCAGAGTCTGCTTGGTTCAGACCATTTTCTCTGCTCTGGTTTAGAGTGACATTCTGAATGCTTTTTATTTATTTTTTGCATTTTCAAAATTAAGCATCAAATTCCTCCGGTGGATTCCCTCTTGTTCTGTTTGGTTGGGACCATCCTCTCTGCTCTGGTCTGGATCAGTGTATAACCATGAACACTGTAGTAACATTTACAGAGAGAAAAATGCAAGAAAATAAGTGTTTCAGAGCGACTCAGGACTCGCTGCTGTTCCAGAACATTCAAAAAACTTGATGTGGGAGTGTTATATTCCATTTATACGCTTTCTTTCCCTCAGGCCCCAGTGACTCAGAGTCGGATGGGCCTTTCCACAGGAAGATGCCGGACGTGCGCAAAGACGACATGCTAGCGCGCCGCACCTCTGTGAGCGAGCCCAAAGCCGCCATGCCCTTCAACCAGTACCTCCCCAACAAGAGCAACCAGAGCGGCTACCTGCCCCTGCCCCTGCGCAAGAAGAGAGACACCAGCGAGAGCCACCGCACCAGCGAGAGCCACCGCACCAGCGAGAGCCACCGCACCAGCTGGAGTACTGCCACCTCGCCTGTAGGGGGCGACCGGCCGCTCAGGTCAGAGGAACATCACTTATACCATGCCATGTTGAAGGCTAAATGTGGTTCTCTACACGTTTAATGAGGATTTCAATACAATTTATTTTTGCATAGATTTAAATCACAACCGTAGTTTATGATAAACTGTCCATTCGTCAACACAGATCAGAGAATCAAACAATTCAAACACAGAAAATTCAATGAAAAAGAATAATGAATGAGAATACATAGAGCCATTGGTTTATGAGCCTCGGGGATCAATGCTGGCGGCGTAATCAAAGATTAGCAGAACTAGCCCATAATTGGTAACTTCTGGGGTCCTCCCGGTTCTGCTCAGTGGACAAGCTCCCATGATGCTTTGCGCCAAATATGGAGCATGAGTTCTGACCAATCAGAGAGGAGCTGGAGTGGGAGGTAAACCAGCAGAGTTTGCTGCACTAAAGTCTGGATTTATAAAAAACCGATGGATTTAACAAGAAAAATAGTTCAGAATGACAAGTCCACGTTCATAAGGGGCAGAGACCAAAGTCCATAAATGTTGTTGAATGTCGAGTGTCCTGGATCATCACTGTCCTTAGACCTCCTGCATTTTGTGCTGGAAATTGGTCCCTCTTCCACTCAGTAAAGCAATTTTAATACAGTACAGAAAATTATTATTTTACCTCTCAAACTTATTTGAACCCAACAAAACCTATTTCCATATTGTGATTAGGTTTTCCTGATACAAAAATTACAAATATTACGTACTTAGAAAATATCCTGATGTCCCACTGAAGCAGTTAAAGAGCCAGGGCAATGGGAAGAGCCTGATCTGGAAGCTTTTCAATGTTAATGCAACACACCATCACAGTATTTTCTTTTCAAAACACACAAAACAACACATTTAAATACAGATAGAGAGCACGGGAGGATACAGTGCTCCTCATCCATCCCAGCTTTAACCCCAAGCCTTCAAGCTATTTCGGTGACTAATACGACCCCATTGTTCTTCATTGTCCATCATCTTATATAAGGTGAGACATTTGATATATTTTGACAGAAAAGCAGACAAAAACACACACAATGATAGAACATGATCACTTTGGCTTGTGCAGCTGTAAACCCTGCTTTTCCAGATCTGTTCTTTGTGCTTCCTGCAAAACAGTTCAATATAAAGCTCAGAGTTGAAAGCAAATTACAAAGTTCCATCTGAAGCTTAATGACAAAACTCTCACAAATCTTCCTGGGGTCACACTGCAAAAAATGATACAATAAATGAGAAAATAATTGCTTGAATCGAGTGGTTTTTATCTTAATCTGAGCACATTGTGACTGTGTTCAAACAAGATTCTCCAATTTGACAAAGCCATTTAGTCTTATTTCAAGAACTGTGGCCTTATTTTCTCATTCCAAAGCAGACATTTCTTGTATCTTTTTAAAACAAGATCATTTTGTTTTGTCCCATTTACAAATCTTGTTTTGAAGCAGTCAGAATGTGCTCAAATAAAGATACATTTTGCCAAATTTGAGCCATGTTTGACTTATTTTTCTTCACACGTTGGATTATAGGTGTCACATGGATTGGCCAATTCACAATTCCATGAACAAATACAAGACTTATAGATTGAGAAATTCTTGGTAGGAAATTTTAGTTCAATTAAAATGAGAAAAATGGTGCATAAATATAGATATGTTCCCACTCCTGAAGCTTGAATGTAAGTGTCCTTGAACCAGTGGTTGAGAAAGGCTGTATTATGTTTTTAACCCATCTTTCCCAACAGTAGTCATAAACTGTAGTTGAGTAAGCCCTTTGCTGCTGGTTCTGGGTCTGTGGGAGAGGGGGCGGCTCTGATGGGCCCCAGATGTTCCTCTCAGTGGTGGACGACAGCGAGTTAGAAAAACTCTAAAGGAAAAAAACCAAATGAGATTTACTCCTGGAGGTCAAAGCTCCTTCTGCTCAGCACCAGTTCTAAACCCGCTGAATTCTTTGGATTTCCCGAGGATCAGTGAAATACAATGGTTACACTGTGATTCCAGGAGGGAAATGTAGAGAATGAAAACAAAGGCACAATCCTGGAATAGGAATGTGAGGTATTCGCTCAGATTCAGTGGATTCTTAGTGGATTCATAAACTGCTCTGTTACGTAACCGTGGACAACATTGGGGGAAAAAGTCTGCGTATTTTTCAACTAAAATAGAGAATGGATGGATAGCTTTAGTCCAGACTCGTAGTCCAGAGCAAAAAAATAGACAAGACTCCACACACTAAAAAAACAGACAACATAGAACAATAAAAGTCCCCAGAATCTCTGTAGAGGAGGAGACTATACCAGTGTTTCCACAGAGCAGAGGTTAAACGAAAATCACTGTAAGCTCTACTCGTCAACACTAAAATCGTCATATTCCCACTAGTGTTCAGGCGACACTTAAGCCTAGCGTACATCGACAAAGTCACTGGAGACAACTAGTTGCAAGGCGGCTTTTGGCAACTGGGAGTAGATGATGGAGATGATCAGTTGAAATCGGTCGATGTGAGCGCTCTTACAACTGGAGATAAACAGTCGATCTCCGGATTCAGTCAGTTGCCCGTGTTCTACTTTTCGGCAACTAGTTGTACTCAGGTCCGGTTTATGCCAGTTTAAGCCAGTTTATGCCAGAAAACAGACTGTAGTTGAGGCCAGTAGCTGTCGATGTACGCGCTGTTATTCCCCAAACTGGCCTTAACCCAAAACAAAACCACTTTTACTGAATTCCAACAGGATCCAAATTTCCGTAACAAAAATGGAGCAAGAGAAGAGATGTGTCTATAAACTCTTCTATGGCTCTGTTTTAGCCAAAATACATTCAGACTTTTATTTGGATCTTTTCCTGTAATTGTTCAATTTATGTGAGAAAATAGATCAATAAAATAAATGTGTTTCTGAAAAAATATACACTTCAAAATATTGTAATATATGAGGTAATAAATGTTTTAATCCAATGAGACAAAGCCATTTAGACTTTTTTCAAGAACTGTTTCAAGAAATTTGGCCCCAAGACCATTTTTAGTGGCCCCTCAAATGATTTTTACTGATCGTTATCAAAGTAACTTGCAGCATTGACGATAATAGAATACTGTGGGAAGTTGTTCTTCATTTCAAGGTTAGTTCACCAAGAAAACAACATTTAATCTGTTCTAAAATGTGAACTAACATGTAATTAGAAGAAACATTTTTAATTAACTATGTATCTTCAATTACATCTTGTTTTATATATATTTTTGGTCCAGTTGTGATTGAATCCAAACTAAATAAAACAAAATAATGATATTAAAAGTAAACCACTTTGATACTTTTGGCCCCAACAAACTCTTTTGTTTTTTCAAACTTGGCCCACAACCAACTTAACATCCCTGCTTTATTTTCTCATTCCAAGGGAGACATTTATAGTATATTTTAAAAAACTAGATCCCTTTGCTTTGTCCTAGTGGTAAATCTTGTTTTAAGGCAAAATGTGCTCAAATTATGATACATTTTGTCACTTCTTGCAGTACTGTACATGCATAGACCTAGTTTCAATAGAGATAAAAAATTACTAGACATTTAATGACATACAGTAATTATGAAATGCTATTTAAAATGACATGAGCTGTTTTTTATCCTCTCAAAAGTTAAATTTGATTCATCTTTCACCACAGTGAAATCTTCATTATTTTCCTGTTCCCTGTTGTAACCGTCCCGGCGTCTCGCACTAACATCCCGACCTTCTAGTCCAGTCGCTGCTCCTAGTTTAGCGATCCATTTCAGAAACCTCCCCCTCCTGCCCTGTAAACCAAAGCTCCAGACCAGGGAGGAGGAGAGCAACCAGCAGCCCAGAGAGGAAGAGCGGAGCTGGGGGAGTCCGAGCTGCAGGCCCCCCCCTCTGATCCAGGACTCCAGGGACTCAGCCCTCATTCACCTGACGGTCTCCTCTGAACCAAGGTCTATGTGTAGATAGTTTGAATCCTCCACTCGGGCTGAGGCTAACCCAGAGTGTGGTAGTTTAGTTTTGTGATTTGAGCTAGATTTTGAGATAAAAAAGGTTTGTCCGTTGAGTTTGTAGTGGTAAAACTGCTCGCTTGTTTGTTAGATGAGGGAAGAGTGACAGAACATTTTCCTCAAGATCATTTAGACTTTTATGTAATAGTAGGTTTATTCCCATTGAGCCAAATTGTATGTTTTTCGCCCAAAATCCCCGGGTCCACTCTTTCTGCCGATTACACACCGTTTAATCCGCCTCTTTCTGCTGAAGTAAATGCAAAAGCTAGATCCTGTCTGACCTCTGAAGCTAAGCAGGGCAGGGTCTGGTTAGTGCTGTGATGGGTGTCTGGTGTGTGTGTGTGTGTGTGTGTGTGTGTGTGTGTGTGTGTGTGTGTGTGTGTGTGTGTGTGTGTGTGTGTGTGTGTGTGTGTGTGTGTGTGTGTGTGTGTGTGTGATTGGTTGGTTAGTTGGTGGTGGGAGGGGCATGACTGGTTGTTTTGCGTCTGTCAGTGTGCCCCAGGGCAGCTATGGCTACAGTAGTATTTCCTCACCGCCGTGAAAGACTAATGTCATGTAAAGCGTCTTTGAAAGTCCAAATAAGTGCAATAAAAAAATGATGCCTCGTTATTATTATTATTATTTCTATTATTATCACACGAGGGACAATATTTTGCATAACGACAGCGTAGTATTTATATAATTTAAAAAGCAAATATTACACATTATTTTTGGCCACTAAAACGATTTACTTTGTCATGTTGTTGTTTAGAATGTGAAATAATATCTTTAGTAAAATATATGGGGAAAAGAGTAAGAATAGGAAAAAAAAAAAATGCTTTCTGCCTGTAACTCCCTCTGCTTCCACCAGAGGGCGACATATAATGGCTGCAAACTCAACCACTGTTGCTTCCCTCAGTGATCCTGGTACTATATTACTATACTGATTCTATTTTCAGTTGCCAGGAAGGAATGATCACATATTTGAGGATCTGTCCAGGAAAGCACTTCTTCATTGGCTTCGATGGCGTCGCAGTGTAATTT